ATTTGTTTTTTTTTTTTTTTTTTTTTTTTTTTGGTTTTTCGAGACAGGGTTTCTCTGTGTAGCCCTGGCTGTCCTGGAACTCACTCTGTAGACCAGGCTGGCCTCGAACTCAAGAAATCCACCTGACTCTGCCTCCCAAGTGCTGGGATTAAAGGCGTGCGCCACCACTGCCCAGCCTTGCAACCATTTGTAATTTCAGTTCCAAGGGATCCTGTACCCTCTGTCTTGTCTCCACCAGCACCAGGCACCCATGTGGTGCACCCATGTGATGCATATAACATGCAAGCACTCGCACATACGAATAAAAGTCGCTTATTTAAAAAAAAAAAAGGTTGGAGAAAAAAAAACCCACAAAAGCCTGGTTTGTGGAGTCATGTTCGGAATCTCATCATTCCTAAAGCAGAGACAAAAGAAACTCTGCAGGTTTAAGGGCAGCTCGGCCTACCGCTGCTCTGCTCCACGGCTGGCTCTGCTACACACAGAAACTTAAAAAAGAAGGAAGGGCGGTGTTGAGACGGCCCGTGTGATTGCCACCAAGCATGGCGGCTTGAGCTGCAACTCTGGAACTCAAATGATAGCGAATCTGTTACCGAGCTGCTCTCTGCACACCACAGGCGTGCTGTGCCAAGTGTGCCCCCACCCCTTGCCCCAACACATACCCATGAATGTAATGAAAAAAAAAATCAACCACGTCACCGTAAACTATCACTTCTGTGTACAATGCTCAAGCAGAGGGTTGACTGCTTGCAACTATTAAAGAACCCTTTCATTTCCCGTGAGCCACTAGGTAGATACTGGTTGTTCCAGTCAGGGCTCCGGGTAATTAGAACATGATACAAGTCACAGACAGGACCCAGAGAGCAGAGAGGATACTGTGGCACAAGAGGAAATGAGCTGTTGGGCTGGGTATGCAGGTAAACCTGGAATGACGGCAGCCATGACGCCTGTCCTACAGCCACACTGAAGAGATTCTCAGGGAAATCAAACCGTTGAGTGGAAATTGAAGCTCCAAGTGGACATTTCTGGTTCCTTTGGATACTCAGTTGTGTCATACATTTTTCATGTCTTATGAGAGCATGTTTTCCTGAAGCAGACATGTGGGAGGATGTTTGGCTGAGAAAAAAACATCTTTTTCTGCTGGGCAGTGGTGGCACATGCCTTTAATCTCAGCACTTGGGAGGCAAAGGAAGGCAGATTGCTGAGTTCGAGGCCAGCCTGGTCTACAGAGTGAGTTCGAGGACAACCAGGGATACACAGAGAAACCCTGTCTTGAAAAACCAAAAAAAACAAAAACAAAAAAAGGAAACATGTTTTTCGGGAAGCTGAATGGAAAAAATGGCATTTGATGTTTTGCCAGAGCAGATGCTTGAGAGAACACGTGATGTTTGGAAAGGGTATAAACATAACCCGACAGACAGCGGATGACGCTGTGTGGCGTTGGTTTGCCTTGCCACTCTTTGCTGACACTGGTCACCTTGCCTTCTTCACTGATCATAGTTTGTCATGACTTCATAGAGAGAAATGCACCAAAGAACTCATGATATTCCAGCAGCTACTTGCAGCATCTGCAGCCTTGGACCGGTTGGCAGAGCCCTGTGGTCTCTTCTGGACTGAACTGCAGGTGCTGATTTGCGAATAGTGTTTGTGAGTGGATCCAGCTGCCACTGCTGATTTGTATGACCTGAACTGCTGAGATCCTGACAACCAGGATCAGAATCACCCAAAAGAACTTTCTAAACAGGTCCACATCTCCCTTTGCCCTATTAACCTTTCTTTTCTACTACCTCTTGCAGGTGGTGGGATACAAGGGAGGTTAAAGCGTTTAAGGACCATTATTAAAAATAGGTCTTGAAAAAAACCTATGCCTACAAAAGCTTTACAGCTGCTTCCAAGCACCGGTACCAAGAACACAATTGACTTTTTAAAAAGTTTTATTTTTGCATTGGTGCGTAGGTGTTTTGCCTGCATGTTTGAAGGTGTTAGATCCCCTAGAATTGGAGCTACAGACAGTTGTGAGCTGCCATGTGGGTGCTGGGAATTGAAGCCAGATCCTCTGGAAGTGGAGCCAGTGTTCTTAACCACTGAGCCATCGATCCAGCCCCGAAGACTTATTTGTATGTATGAGCACTCTACCTGCACGCACACCTACACGCCAGAAGAGGGCGTCAGAACTCATTATTGATGCTTTCTGGGACTTGAACTCAGGACCTCTGGAAGAGTAGCTGGTGCTCTTAACCGCTGAGCCATCTCTCCAACCTTGACTTTTAAAATCATTGATTTAATGGATCTTTCTCTTGGTTAGTCCACACTAGCCTGGAAGTCACTAAGCAACCCAGACAGGCTTCAAACTCAGAGTATGTCTGTTTCCTTAGCCTCCTACGTGGTCAGATGACAGGCTGAGCTACCACACCAGCTAGCATCGTTTTGTTTTTTGCTCTGATTTTGTTGTTTTTGTGGTTCTGTGTTGTTTGGTTTCAGACAGGGTCTATACAGATCTGGCTAGTTTGGAACTTGCTGTGTAGACCAAGCTGACCTCAAATTCAGACCTCCACTTGCCTCTGCCTCCTCTGCTGGGAATTAAAGGCATGTGCCTGACTTAACAGTGTTAGTGTGCAGGTGCATGCATGTGCACATGCCGAGGTCAGAGGACAGCTTCACAGAGTCGGCTCTCTCTTTAGACCTTCTGAGTCCTGGAGACCAAACCCAGCTTGTCAGGCTTGGGAGAACGCTCCTTTCTCTGCTGTGACATCTTGAAAATATAAGATTCTGGCATTTTGACCGTTAACTACAGCTGTGCTGGTACAAAGCGAGCAGACATGAGCCTTTCTGAGGACTCGGGACTGATTCTGAAACGAGGCTTTATTAGGGTCCGAATGAGACATGAACATTCTAGCAAACCAGAAGCTGCTGGGTAGGTGGCAGGCTGCGTTCCCATGCGGGAGGCCTAAGGGTTTATGAGGAAGTGTACAGGCCAGAGACCTAGGCCACCTACGCTTTCTTAGCTTGAACGTTGTCCTCTTTGGAGCCTGCTCTGGAGGGACCCTTTAAACTTCCCTCTGAGCTGTGAGACTGGATGCTGAAGCCCTCGGTGGAGGTGGCGTAGGTATAGTAGGACTCTGACGCCATGATGTTTTTAATCCTCCAGCGCAGTGAGACCCAGGCCTGCGCTATGTGAGGCCACAGGAGGCAGAACAGGATGTAGATGACAACCAGGATGAGAAAGAAGGTGGAGGACACCTGCAAGCCCAGTCCAGCAGTCACGAGGGGTCGGGTGGGGGTGCAGTAGGTGAACCCTGCCCACCCAGAAGGGAAGACTGCGGCTGCCACTCACAATAACAATGTGGAAGGAGCGTTTGCTACTGAGCGGAAGCCCATGGATGTGTAGTATAAAGGTGAGCTGGTAGTCACAGTATGTGCTGTTGTCTACACCTCTGCGGAAGGAATGGAGTCCAGGATTGAGTTAGTTAGTAGGGCATCGTGCCAAGGGACAGCCTCAGCACGCTGCATCCCCACTCCCAGCACACACCTAGGCTGTGTGCCTGGCTTACCTATTGCTCACTAACAACTTGAGGAAGAACTCAGGTGGAAAGATGCTTTCGGGGGTGATGTCGTAGCAAGGGAAGTTCTCCAAACACAGCCACCTACAAGTCCAAGTGTAGGCAGATGTCGCACCTACACTCCAGGGGAAACACTGCCTGCTCCAATCTGCCTGCTGCTTGGTGACCATAGTGCTTCCGACTGAACTTGGGGCCTCATGAGAGTTAGGCAAACCTTCTGCTGCTGGGCCAAGACCCAACTCGCTGCAGTAGTGCAGGCAAGTGTTCTCCTAGGGAGCCACACCTTCAGGCTCCGGTCTCCACTTTGGCCAGCCTACTCCATTCACTGAGACAATAAGGCTCTCTGAGCACCAGCTAGTAAACAGGCTGCTGCTGCCTCCACCTGCCAACAGACCCAGATGTTGGACTGAACACCTACTGTGTGTCACCTTCATTCCACAAGAACAGTCTGCACAGGAGCTAAGGACAGAGTCACACCTTTTCTAAGTCCCTCTTGACCACTATTCCGTAAATCCAGACTGAATATGGCCTTGGGCGCGGTTGGTTAATTTGTCCATTTTGAAGTGGAAGTTTCTGGCTATATCATGTGATGGTTTAGCATTTGAGAACCCTTATTAAAAGTAGGATTTCAAGAACTGATTTTCAAGCCTTACATACTAACAAAGCCTTCTATAGTTTTCTTCATTTGTGAACATCTCCACTTAGCTGTCAATGAATGCTGACCCTGCGTCAGCTTGTTTATTCTTCATTTAAAAGAAATGTTATATCATGTCTATTCAAAAACTGCGTAGAGAGAGAGAGACAGGCCCTCCAGGAGACAGTAGCAGGCGCTGAGTGGTCTGGACCAAAATGTAAGATGTGCGGGCAGAAGGTCAGGGAAGGCTGAGGAGGTGCAGGCAAACACTCAGGGTGGGAAAGGCACCTGGGAGTTCAGCAGGATTGACTGCCCATCTTGGGAAAAAAGGGGGTGGGGCATTGCTAAGTCCTCCTGAAGGAAGGAGCATGTGACCTAAGGACTGAAGGCTGAGTAAAAGCCCTCCTTTAGAAATACACAGACAATTAATGTGACTGTCTGGGAAGCCTCTCAGAGACAAGCACAGTGAGCCAGAGGGATGTGGTGGGGGAAAAGCTTGTGCAAAGGGCATGTCAATAATCTCCACATTTCAGAAGTAGGACAATCATAATTTTGAGAATAGGCAGAGCCACACAGTGAGACTCTGTGTAAAACAAAAGTAACGGAGTTGGGGTTCAGGAGATGCAGTTCAGTGGGTAGAAGGCTAGCCTGGCATTCTCCAAGCCCCGGGTTGGAGACCCAGACCCCCATAAACCTGTGTGGGAGACTTAGAGGAACAAGGTCACCCTCAACTACATAGTGAATTCAACGCTAGCCTGGAGGGTGGAGCTCTCAGGACTCGAACTCACTCAATCCCAGGGCTCAGGTGGGACATTATGTAGAACTTTTTGTCTTCAGTTGTCCTTTCAACATTTGTTTTCCAGATGAGGCTATTTGTCCTACGCAGGCCCATATAAAGTCAAAGCGGGTTGAAAGCGGAAACAGTGGTCAGTACCTAGGAATGGGGACCCAGTAAGCGGGGCAGGATTGTGGGATCTGAGACACGACTGTCTGAGGCACCTTGAGTGTTTGTAGCTTACAGAAAAGGGTCCCCTGCTTAAGTGGAAGTGGGAGGGGAGACCCTACAGACCAGACCCGCCAGGCCCCAAAGGGATTACGTGTCCAGCGGGCTGTTGTAACGGAAGATCTCTTCTTCCGTGTAGTCTCTGATGGTGTCCTTCGTGCGGCCACCGCCCACCACCTTAAGCACGTAACTGAAGAATGCAGAGGTAAACACAGATCCCTTAGAGTTGAACTCCGCATCTCCCTCTCCCAACTGTCAAGTACCCGAAGCCCGCAACCTGCCGCAGCTGTCTGTCCTCACCTGCCCAAGAAACTGCCAGAGTCTCCCGTCACCATGTCTTGGACTAAGAAGAAAGGCTGGAATACTGTGGATTGGGAAGGAGGGGGGTGGGGTGGGAAAAAGTTAGCTTTGTCCAAGGAGGAACAGAGGAAGACTGGAGGGGGACTCTAGGCGGGGCTGGGGGAAGGGACGAGTGAGGGAAATTTGGGAGAAAGAAAGGAACACACAGTCACGGAAGAGGAAACACGGCATCTCCTCTTCCTTAGTCACACAGTCGAAATAGTGCTTGTTTATCTGCTCGGAATGCGTGATCGTGTAGGAAACGTCAAAGGCCAAGCGCTTGCCGGGCGGACAGCCAATGTATACTGGTATCAGCCGGAAACCCTGGGTAGGAAAAAAGACCTCCTGCTGGGGAATGGCCAGATTGCTTTCAAGGAGCAGAGGGAAAACCACCCCTCTAAAAACACAAGGTGGCACACACACACACACACACACACACACCATCAACATGGTCGGTTGGCCACACCATGCCTGCCTTTTCCTTTCCTACCCCCTGCCTGCTTTTCCTTTCCAGTGCTAAGCTTGGAACCAGGGCCTCCTTCACATGCTGAGCAAGCATGCATCGTTGTTTGATAGTGTCTGTTTGCTTTTCGGGTTTTGTTGTTGTTGTTACTATTGCTTTAATGTCTAAGTGCTCTGTCTGTATGTACTTCTGCATGCCAGAAGAGGGCAGCAGATCTCTTTACACATGGTTGTGAGCCACCGTATTGTTGCGGAAAATCGAACTCAGAACCTCTGAATGATCAGCCAGTGCTCTTAACCACTGTTAACTCTCCAGCTCTGTTGTGGTTGCTGTTGTCATTGTCGTCGTCATTGTTGTTCTTGTTTTTTATAAGCATTTTATTAACTTTTAAAATTTCATACAATATAATATTCACTTCCCCTTCCTCCCCTTAACTCCTCCCCCCAGGCCCAATCCCAAGTCCCATCAACTTCTGGTTCTTTGCAGCTGCTGGAGGCGGAGTCTCCTTGTGAAGCCCTGGTTGGTCTGGAGATTACTACCTAGACCAACTTGGTCCCTAAGTCACAAAAATGTTCCTGCCTCTGGCCTCCCTAAGAGTTAGAGGTATGTCCCACAGTGACCAACTAAGACAGTGTTTCTGATGAATGCACAGGCACTGGGTCATGTTCTAAGAGCTTAACACATTTTTTTTTTTGGTTTGGTTTTTTTGAGACAGGATTTCTCTGTATAGCCCTAGCTGTCCTGGAACTCACTCTGTAGACCAGGCTGGCCTCGAACTCAGAAATCCGCCTGCCTCTGCCTCCCAAGTGCTGGGATTAAAGGTATGCACCACTACTGCCCGCCCCCACATTTCCTTTTCTGTTTTTTGGTTTGGTTTGGTTTGGCTTTTTGTTTGTTTGTTTGTTTGTTTGTTTTGATTTTCTCTCTTTCTCTCTTTCTTTCTTCTTTCTTTCTTTTTTTTTTTTAAGACAGGGTTTCTCTACGTAGCTCTGGCTGTCCTGGAACTCTCTGTAAACCAGGCTCCAGACAGGAGATATCCTCCTGCCTCTGCCTCTCAAGTACTGGGGTTAAAGTTGTGTCCCACCACTGCCTGGTACATTTTCTTAGTTAAACCTGTGTGAATTGTATGAGCCCTGTATGGTACAGACCATTAGTATGCCCCATTTTGTGGAGCACTGAGATTAGAGGCACGTAGTGTCACCCTAGGCAATATCCAGACACATGTGATGGCAAGTATCTGTTATTCCATCACTGAGGAGGGTGAAGCAGGAGGATCTGGATTTGAGGCCAAATCCCAGTGTTTTATATACAGCAAGAGCCTGTCTCAAACAACAGCAACCAAAACCAATGACAAAAGTGAGGAACAGCCAGCTGTGGTGGCTCATGCTATAATCCCAGCATTTGGGAATACAATACATGTTTGTAGCTGAGAGTTTAAGAGAAGTCTGGACTATGTAGTGAGTTCAGGCTAGCCTGGGTTACAGACTGAGACCCTGTCTAGGGCTTGGGGGATAGGCTTGGTATGACAGCGTACACCTGTAATCTCTGCACTTTTAGAGGCTGAGGCAAGGAAGGTCAGGGACTCAAGGTCATCCTTAGCTCCATAGCAAGCCTTGGCTATTTGAGGCCCTGTCTCAAAAAGCAAACAAAAACAAATGAAAAAGTAGGCCTAGAAAGGCCAAACTGGAGCTGAAACCGGTGGGATTCATATACTGCTAGCCAGCAATAGCAAGGCTGCGGGTGTCTGCACTTCCACAGCTCTGGCTCCTGCTCACAGCCCACAGGTCTGACTCTGGACTAAAAGCCCTAGAAGGAAGACGTGATTCCCAAGGGAAATAGAGCCCAGAATGAGCACCATGGCTCAGGGACATCCCCCCACCCTCACCCCAGTACATTGTCTTCAGAATGAAGAATCTCTCTAGGCCCATCTGGGTCTAGGTCATGACATCCAGAGATTGTGTGTGGCCTGAGCTTGGTGGCTGCTGAGTAAGCGCCTTCCAGGCCAGGCCTGCCTTAGTCACCTCACCCCTGAGTCAGCACTCACTAGGAGACCGACTAGGCATCTAAGACTGTCTACACAGAACTCATCTTAGTGGATGGACTTCCACTTTTCCCAGATGTTCAAGTGAATAACTTTTGGTCCTAGGTTGTGAGTGTAGCTTGACCCTACAGGGTCCAGGCCTATAACTCATAGTGAGACGCTAAGGGTGTGGCTGAGCCCCTCTGCCTTCTCAGTGTTGGGATACAGGCATGCCTTCACTGTGTCTGCTTAGCTTCTTGGTCTTAGCCTTCAAAATCAATGCAGAAGGCTGGCACATGGCTCATCCTACAGTGATGATTCACATGTTTGGGTCCCTGCATTCCACCTCTAGCAACACAAAAAGGGACCCAGCTGAGGAGGCTGAGTTGCTCTATGTCTGAAGCCAGTCTACAGAGCAGAGTGAGACCCTGTCTCAGAAAGAAAGACAAAGAAACATCACACCAGAACCAATTTTTTCCTCTAAACCTCAACTTTCTTCTCTTATACTTGTCTACACACACTTGTATCCGTATCCAGCACACACCCAGATGTGAACAGCCCGATCTCTCTCTTCCCTCTTTACTCATGCTGACTCAGTCAGGCTTCTGCCTTGTTACTTTAGCCCACCACATGCCATCTAAGGAGTCTGTGCTATTACAACTGAGTCATTCTCAATCAGGAAGGAGGGCCCCAAGGTGAGTTTGCCAGTGGGTGGACAGGGACGTTACAGAGAACAAAGACTCTAGGCCCTCTACCACTTCGGAGCTCTCTGGGTCCGTGTGCATTGCTCCGGGCCTCAATAATTCACTTTCTGCTAGGGAGATAATACCCGTGTAAGCAAGACAAGACCAACGAAGCCAGAGAAAAGAACGAACAACATTTGAGTCGGGAAATAGAACAATGTCTGAGGTTGGGGGAGGGGGACATTTTAGTGGTAGAGTGCTTGGTCAGCAGTTTCAAAGGCCTGAGTTCAAGCTTTAGCACTGGAGACTCCAAATAAGAAAATAAGTAAATAGAGTTGGTGTGCAGCAGTGTATAATTGCAATTGCAGAGGACCTGGGGTTAGATCCCCAGCACTCACATGACCGCTCACAATCCTTTGTAACTTTAGTTCCAGGGGACCAAAAGCCCTCTTCTGTCCTGACCTCCCTCTGAAGGCACCAGGCACACAATCGGTGAATAGCCACACACACACAGGCAAAATACCCACAGACACATGCTTTAAATCTGAATGGATTGACGGTGCTCCCAGGACAGCAACAGGAACCAGCCGCCCTCTGGGGACTTGAGCCCACCCTCCGCCCCAAATACCAGACCCAGTACCCAAATTCCAGTACTAGCATTTCTGCCCCAAGGTATGTGGCTCGTGAGCATCTCCCAGGACTGCCCAAGACCTGTGAGGAGGAATGGGTGATTGGAGACCCCAAGAGCCAGTGTACTCTCTCGACATCCCTTACCAAAACTTGGACCATACCTTGATCATGACGGAGGTCTTCTTGATGTTATGCCCGACCCTGCCCTGCTCAGAGCATCTCTCTCTGTCTGTGATTTTAATCTGAGGAGAAGAGAAAGGAGAGACTGAAATAGAGGAGTATCTAAATCTGTCCTAGGATCAAGAAACATTCCAAGGCCGGATAACTGGGACTAAGAGTGGGATGATAAGATCTGTGCCTTTCCACTTACTGTGCAGAGGACCAGAGGGACAGCAGCCAAGGCCCCGTGCCTCCTCTCTGGGCCCTCACCTTGTTGATCACTGTGTTGCGATTGAGAAGGAGCTCCTGGGTCACAATCCCTGAGAGGCACTCGGGATCTGCCAGCATCAAAGCCACTGCCAGCTTCTTCTCTACATCAATAGTGGCTCCTGTGGGGGAAGCAGTGGGGGCCTTGATGCCTGATACCTGCCCCCCTCCAGAGTATTCAGGCCTCATCCCTTGGTTGCTAAGCAGGCCCCAACCATAGACCTTGGCTATCAGAGCTTGTGAAGGTGTCCTCATGCGACAATAAGATTGCAGTGAAGCCAAACCCGTTGCCCTTGTCAAGGAAGATAAATTCGGGTAGGTCGTAGTCGCCTGTTATGTTGTAGATCTTTTGGTAGGAGTTCATGTCGATGTACATGCCTTCTGCTGCCAGCCGGTTGCTGAACAGGTAAAAGAAGTAATCCTGGATGCACAGGATGGTCAGCTAGTGGGCGCTGGGCAGGAGACATGCATCCCAGTGCTGTCCCGCCACCACCTCCCAACATGTTCACCTACCCTGTACTTCATCTTGTGTTGCCACCAGCGCCAGGTGGGATCGTGCACTGGGTCGGCATAGGGCTGTGGGGCCGGTCACACACCATGAGGTGACAGGAAGAAGGAGGCAGACAACTCTAGGCTCATAGCCCAAAGTAAGAAATAATCACCCAGCCCGCCCCAAAACTCGGCTCCGTGAATCAGTGTGGGGTGGGTGAGTTTGTGGAGGCCAGAGGAGGACCTTCCTTGTGTATCTAAAGAAGCCACCCAGGAAGTTCACACCCAAACCTGGCCTGACTTGACTGTTGTGTCCAGTGAGTCTCACACTTCGGCCTGTTTCTGCCTCCCCAGGGCTTTGGGATTCCAAGTCCACCCCTCACAACCAGCTTATTCTGTGGGTGCTGTGAGCCATACTCTACAGCTGGTCATGTTTTGTGTATCAAGTATGGTCTCAAATTCAAGAGTTTTGTCCATCTCTGCCTCTGGGATAACAGTATGCACTGTTATACCAGTTTTTTTGTTTTGTTTTGTTTGTTTGTTTTGTTGTTTTCTGTTTTTCTGAAAAGGCCAAGGTCTCATGTAGCCTCAAACTCCTACCTTCCTGCCAAGTGCCTCCCAAGTGTTGAGATTAGGCATGCACCAGCATGTGTAATCTAAACCTGCCTTCCGGGTTTTCAATCTAAGGGCCTCACGCCTAAAAGCCAGTTCAAACCTGTCCTGCCTCCAGCCACTTCACTTTCCTCATGTCTTTGAACTTCAGGTTCCACTCTGGCTGCACCAACCCCTCTTCAGGGCCTCCGGGCGCCCACCTTATCATACTTGGCGTGCAGCCACAGCAGGTAATAGACAAGGCCTTGATAGACAGCCAGCGTCTCATTGTTGTGTAATCCCAGGGGTTCAGAGACCAGCGGTGGCAGAGCGAGGTAGCTCTCCTTGCGTGTCATGTGCTGCCTTTTGGGCACATCTACCACATGAACGTCCTTGAACGGGCACACGTGGGTGAAGGAGATCAACCTGAGTTGCCTGCGCAGCCGTGGGTAACAACATGGGAGGGAAGATATGTGGACAGCTCTTCAGAAACACCCCCAGCTTGCGTTTCCCACTTCTGAGTCGCTGATTCCCCAAATTTAACCGGGGCTCTGTCAAACTCAGTTCAGTGCCCTCATGCTCAGCAGCCTCTAGACACACTCTGTTCGCTGTCCCTCAGACCAGAGCCCACTCTCTTCCACCCGCAGTCCCCCCATATGCTAGCTAGTTGATCTCTTCTCCGTCCGCCCCAGCTAGGTTCCTTGCCTTAATTCTACCCCCGCCTCCAAGCTGCCTTCCGGGTGGCACCCTTTGCAGGTGCCCAGCATTACCCCCTTCCCTCCACATAGCCTCATCACATAGCCCCCCGACTGGCTTACATATTTAAATTCCAAATTCATCAGCCTTAACCTCACAAGTGCTGAGACCACAGGTCTGGGCCATTTCTGAAATCTGTCAATTACAAGGCTCTCATGTCTGAAAACCCTCTCACTTTCTCCTTACCCTGTGTGTGGTTTGTATGTGCTCAGCCCAGGGAGTGGTACTATTAGAAGGTGTGGCCTTGTTGGAGTAGGGGTGTCACTGTGGGCGTGGGCTTTAAGACCCTCATCCTAGCTGCCTGGAAGCCAGTATTTCGCTAGCAGCCTTCAGATGAAGATGTAGAACTCTCAGCTCCTCCTGCACCATGTCTGCCTGCACACTGCCATGCTCCTGCCTTGATGACAGTGGACTGAACTTCTGAACATGTAAGCCAGCCCCAATTAAATTTTGTCCTTCTAAGAGTTGCCGTGGCCGTGGTGTCTGTTCACAGCAGTAAAACCCAGACTGAGATAGCCTCTAACACCCTTCTACTTCCTCCGCACCCTCGGGTCATAGCTTCTCTCCTCCATGATGCCCCAAGCCCTCCGACTACACTACGCTCTTCCTCTGACCTACAATCCATGCCAAGCACCCATCCATCCCCACCATCAGGTTATCCTTAGGGTGGCTCTAGGTTCCACCCCTGGGGTGGAGCTCTGAGACAGCTTTGTTCTCACCCTTGGTTAATCACTGAGAAGGGTTTGGGCATCTCATACTCCATCACCGTGGCGACAGGCAGGACCCTCTTGACCAAACGTTCTTGCCCGACATCAAAAAGATAGACCAGCTAGGGCCAGAAGCAGGCATGTAAGTGTGTGGACTCCTTCTTGTAGCTCCCAACCTGCTCCCATCCCCACCCCACCAACCCTCCTGGTACCTCATAGAACTTCCCGTCCTCATAGAAGAGGGAGACCAAGGACTCAGCATCCGCATACTCAGAAGACTTTTGCATCTTCTGCAGGTTAAGGTAGGTGGTCCAGCCTTGGGATGGGATCAATTTGTATACATCATAGCCACCCTCCAGAAAGTACCAGACCTGTGGATCCAGCAGCACATATATGAGTCTTCAGGCACAAGGTAAGCCTTCCGACTCTCCCACTCCACTGGGTCCTTCCAAAGATGTGCACTCTTTGGAAAGGTTCTCCACCCACCCTGAGATCCGGGACCCTGTTAGAGTTAGTGCCTCCTACTGACCTTTCTCTTGGGCTCCCTGAAGGGTGTTCACCCTGACAGGGCAGGAAGACGTGGAGGTGAACAAGGAAGGCTTAGGGAGAAAAACAGGGCATCTCACCTCTTCATTTTCTGTGACAACAGCCATGTGTCCGGTGTAAGAGTTGACCATGTATTTGATGGTGGACTCCTTGGGGAAGTCCGCCAGAAAAATGAAGTGTTCCCTATTGTAGCTGCAGGGGCAGAGAGAGGGAGCTCTGAGCATGGGGACATCTGGTGTTCTTAACATTGCATCCATAATACCGGCAAGTAATCACAGACTGTTTGTTCTCTGACATTGTAAACAATAGCAAAGGGACCCTGTGACCATGGCTTTACCTTCCACTGTGCATGAGAGTGTCCTTGCACTCTTGGACCTGTATCTCCCCATCTCTATTTTGGGGGACCCCAGGACTCAGCTATCTGGCCTAGGACAGTAAGAGTACTACCTTGTCTAGAAATGGGGTCCTAATGACAAGCCCTCTGAGCCCTGGATCCAGTCAGGCCTGAAGCTAGCCCTCCACCTCCCATGTATCAGTCAGTAGATTCTCTGTGCTTAAGTGATTTTTGAGGTGGGTTTCTTTCTTTTAGAACCAAATGCATCAAGAAAAAGGAGTTTGTCAACTGTTCATGAAGATGGCATGGGGCCTCTGGGTTCCTGGAGAATAAGAGGGTAGATGGGTAGGAAAAGTTCTAAAATGTCCCCAGAAAACACTTTCTATTGCTCACATGTGTCCAATCCAGAAAGTTTCACTTTGCAAAAGGGCTCCTAAAGCTGGAGGGGGGAACCCTGGTTAGAGTCCCCACCCAGAGTCCACTAGTGAGGCCCAGGGCCATGGCTTACCAACAGCATGCTTTCCCAAACTAAGCAAGACCTTGAGCTCTAGCCTAGTGACTGGGGGAAAAAACCCATTTTGCTTGTGAGTTAACTCCAGCTCCAGGGTTTCTGGCTTCCACAGACACACATACATACACACAATTCAATAAAATAAAGCTTTACTGGGAGTTATGGCATAGGCCTTTAATTTCTGCATTGGGGAGGCAGAGGCAGACAGAACTTTGAGTTTGAGGCCAGCCTGGTCTACAGACTGAGTTCCAGGACAATCAGGGCTACATAGGTGAGAACTGTCTCAAAAACAGATAAAAATTGATTTATATAAGTAAATGTGTGTGTGTGTGTGTGTGTGTGTGTGTGTGTGTGTCTGTGCGCGTGCGTGCGCGCTCACATGCGCATATGTGTGCCTAGGTCCCTGGGGAGATGGCTTATACCTACCTTTGCAGGATGAAGTTGCCCCAGATGTACAACATGTTGTTCAGTGTGTTGAAGAATAAGCCCTTGGGTATCATAGGAGTGGTGGTATAGGTCTCTGTACCAAGGAGCACCAGGAAGTCCAGTTGCTGAGCTGACCACAGCAGAGGAGACGAGAAGGCAGGGGAGAGGAGAAGAGTGTTCACCTGGTCTCTTCCTGACCACTGTCCACCCTGGAGACCACCCTTGCCCTTTGCTCCTACCTTCAGGGATAAACCTTGGTATTTCATAGAGGATCTTCAGAGTCTTGAACTCTAGAGGTAGGAAAACAACACCCTGAAACCTGAAAACCTCTCTTGAAACCCTAATCTCACAATATCCGTAAGCAAAGCCAGAGTTACTATTCTCCAAGCGTCAGATGAGACTCTGCTGGCAACTGAGCACGGTGATCCTTTAGTCGCAGGACTCAGGAGGCAGGGGAGGTGGATCTTTGAGAGTTTGAAGACAGCTTGGTCTACCTGGGGAGTTCTAGGCCAGCAAGGGCTCCGTAGTAGTAAAAACCTTGTTTCAAAAAACAAAACCAATAAAAACAAATCCCCACCCACCTTAAAGTAAAGAATCTTCTGGTTTTCCATTTAAGATAGAATGCCCTCCTTGATTTGTCATATTTACTCTATGTGACTATGGATGTGTGCGAGCGTACAAAGGCATACGCTTCAGCAACACAAGACAGCTTTTGGGAGTCTTCTCCGCTTCTACCACGTGGTCTTGAGAATTGAGCTTAGGTTATCAGGTTTGGTGCCAAGTGCCTGGACCCACTGAGCCATCTTGTTGGCCTAGAATATCAAAATGCAAAGTATGTGTATACATACACTGCGGGGCCAGTTGGGGATTCCTCCTCTGTTGTTATTTTTGAGACAGTTTTTTATCTCAAAAAGAACATAAAATTGAACCTCCTTGTGGACTACGGGGCCTTCCAGATGTAGTTCTGTTCTCGCCTGCTGGCTTCTTCCTTCTCTCCTAGACACACAGCCCACTGTACACCTTACCTAAGAGTGGCATGTATGGGGTGGACATTCGGTCCCCTGTCCCAGCTCCTGCACGTTCCCTCCTGACCTCCAGGCAACCTGATTTACCTGTATTAAAGTTGACTAGGTAAAATTGCCCAGTGTCAATTTTCACTAACAGCAGCAGGTTTCTCTCATCGGCAATGTATGCAGCCCAGTCGATGGTACAGTTTTTACCTGTTGGGAGAGAGCAGAAGCTACAGCAGTCTAGAATCCAGCCATCCCCATAAGCTCTCACACCCTTTCTCAGAGGCCTACCACCCTCTAGACCCCACCAAAAAAAAAAAGAATACCTGGTAACTTTTGACACACTGACCAGCCTTCTGGCACCATCTTGAAGGACACAAGGCCATCTGTGGATCAAGTCAGATACCATGCTCAGGTCTTTCTTGTCCATCAGCACCTGCCTCTCCAGGTGGACATCCTACCCAACCATCACCCCACTGGGGTGCTCCACACCTTAAACCTCTTAGTCCATGGATTCTAGGGGTCAGGCTGACTTCCAGAACTCTCATCCTTACACTTGACCTACTATCTCAAAAACAATTTTAGATATGTTTTAGATAGGTGTGACCAATACAAGCCAAGAAGAGTGCATCCTGTGACTGGGTGTTAGGACCGGCATAGCAAGATGCGGTGGTGCACTGCACGGGACCGAGCCCTTACTGGTACATTCCATGCAGACTTTCTAACGCTGAGCTACAGTCTGGACCTGTTTGTCTTTTTTAGTTCAAGATAGCTTCCAGCTCTTGATCCTTCTGCCTTATATTTCCAGGTTGTGACTACCAACTATGCACCACCATGTCCAGTGAATTTAATCTTTATATTATTCCCCCCAAAATACCACCGTATTGTCATCTGGTGCCATTTTACAGACAGAAAATTAAGTATATGAGAGAAATCCTGTTACTTGTCAAAAGCCACAGATCTAGGGTTCCATGGAGCAGGCTGGTGTGTGTGTGTGTGTGTGTGTGTGTGTGTGTGTGTTACAGTTAGTCACTATGTGATACAATAGCAAGAGCTCACCAGCTACTCCTTTTTGTTGTTTTTCGAGACAGGGTTTCTCTGCGTAGCCCTGGCTGTCCTGGAACTCACTCCGTAGACCAGGCTGACCTCGAACTGCCTCCCAAGTGCTGGGATTAAAGGTTTGCGCCTCTATCACCCTGCTTATCACCTTTTGCTTAAAAAAACAAAAAAGCCCAAGCAAACAAACACACAACACCTATCTTTTCGGCTGGGCCTGGCAGACACTTGGTGGCAGACTGAGCACAGGAGTGTCCCTGAGCGTTGGCGCAGGCCTTTAAATCGACAGGCAGAGGCAGGGAGAGCTTTGTGGATCTGAAGCTAGTTTGGTCAACGCAGTGAGTTCCAGTTGAGCGAGGTGCACACTAACAAGACACTGTCTCGCAAACAAGACACATCGCAGACGATGTGGAACGAGAACTCGGAGTGAAGACGGCCGCACCTCCTTTGTATGACCTCTTGACTGCCAAGAAATGTGGTAGTCCTGCCTAACACTGCACGCCAAGAGCGTTTCATGATCGCCATGTTTTCTGTGTGAGTTTCTGCATGCCTGTATGTATATGTACTACCTGAGTGCCTGGGGCTGGAGGAGAGCAACCGAGACTACCAGATCCCCTGGAATGTGATTAAGAACTGAAGAGCGGCCACTGCTCTCAGTCTCTGACCCATCTCTTTGGTCCTCCCCCCCCCCTTTTTTTGAGAGAAGGTCTCACCATGTAACCCTAGCTATCCCGGAACTCCCTATGTACCCCAGGATGGTTCCAAATCCCTACATGCTGTGTACATATGTGTGGGTTAGAGGGACACCCTGTGTCGAGTTGGTTATTCATGCAGGTCCCAGGGACTGAGTTCAAGTCCTCAGGCTTGAACAAGCATACCCATTTCCACACACACGGAACTACCCTGAGCCTGCCACCTCTCCTGAGGACACATGGAATAAGAGCCCTAGGTGAGAGTGTGGAAAATGTCTCCTGAGTATTCAGAAGACACAGGCTTTTACCTGTGATGGTCCCGATGTGAATATAACCCTCATTCTTGCCAGTGGTGAGGGCTAGGACGTACTCAGAACCATTGCCAGGAACAAATACCGGACACAGTTTCTTGATGCACTCGCTAGGCAGGACGCGAACCCAGCTGCCTAGGGGCATGCACGGGGACTTAAAACCAGGTTGCTCAGAATGGGGCCTGGACCCCAACCCTTTCTTTCTGGTGTTACAGAGCCTGCTACTTGTCCTCTTAGCCTGGAGCAGCATGTCAGCGTAGCACTGGGGAGCCTCGAGAACACCATCTGTCACTTTTTATAACACGCCCCCTCCCATCCTCTACCCTTGGATTCTAGCTTGTTATGACTGGCTTTGGTTTTATGAGACAGCGTTTTAACACTGTAGCTCTGGCTGGCTTTAAACTCCATATACAGCCCAGGCTGTTCTCAAACTGGCCAGCTTCCTGCTGCTGCTTTCCTCATTTCTGCAGGGTCAGGTATGTGCCACTCTACTGGGGCTGTCCCTGAGGTCTAGATGGGCCCACCCCTTCTTTTTTTCCCTTGGTTCTGAACTGCATGTTGGACAGAGCAGAGCAAATCAGAGGCTCTTCCAACTTGTAGCCACTAGCCAGAAGCTGTGTGGCTCTCTTGGGCTGGGTGTGGGTAGCAATCACCATCCTCAGCAAGGAGGTCAAGAGTTACGGTGAGTACCTGGATACACCAATGTCTAAAGCCCAAGTGCTCATGGGCTTCTGGGTCAGGTAAACCCACCCACAGGTGTGCCCCACTCCTCCTCTTTTGTTTCACCCCCACCCTCATCCCTGAAGGAGTGGGTTGAGGCAATTCTCACTAAGTTTCCCAGGCTGTGTGGAACCTAATACATAGCCCATGATTGCCCTGAACTAGATAGTCTCAAGTGCTAGGATTAGAGGTTGGCAACACCCCGACCCATGTGTGTGTGCTCCCCCATCTCCAGGGTTTCATGTAGCCCAGACTCACCTCAAACAGGCTATATAGCTAAAGGTGACCATAAGCTCCTGGTGCCCCTGCCTCTGTCTCCCACATGTTGGGGTGACAGGTGTAGACAGTGATAATGGCTGGACTTTTACCTTTCTGGTCAATATCCTTCTTGGTTTTGTTTCTCGGACCCCCACCTGTGCCCCACGCCCATACCCAGCCCAGTATTCTCACTGCTGCCGTGGCTTTTGTCGAAGAGCGTGCTGTAGGTGCCTGTGAAGTAGTAGACCAGCTGGTTCTGTCGAATGAAGAGCGTGCTCTCGGTGGCAATGGCGTCATGGATAGTGGCTGAGAAGCCAAGAATGGGACAGTAGAAAGAGCCAACCCAGCAACTGTCAATGCTTAGCTGTGGGGGAGCAGAGGATGTGTGAGCCAGGGTGAGACCTCAGCCTCGATTTTTGCCTTGGCTAGCGATGCTGTTCTAACTGCTTGATAGGAATACTACCCTAGCCCAAGCATTGGACACAACCTGGAGTTAAACAGTGTACGACAGTTCCCGTGCCCATGTCAGAGTTCTGCTCCCACGGATAGAAAATATTCCATGTGGAATCTGAAGAGATGGTTAGTCGTTGAGAGTACTGCTTGTTCTTCAAGAGGACCCAGGTTCGATTCCCAACATCTACTTGAGGGCTCACAACTCTCTCTAGAGGGGATCCAGTGCCCTCTTCTGGCCTCTGTAGGCACCAGGCCAGTGCTCTTAACTGTTGACCCACCTTTCCAGCCCTGTGTGTGTGTGTGTGTGTGTGTGTGTGTGTGTGTACAGATAGACAGACAGACAGACAGACAGATCAGACTGGTCTCAGACTCACAGAGATCTGCCTGCCTCTACCTTTTGAGTGCTAGGATCAAAAGTGTGCACTACTCTACTGGCTCTCCTTCCTCTGTCTCTGCCTGTCTTCTAACTCTCTCTCATATATATATATATGTGTGTGTGTGTGTGTGTGTGTACATGCACATATATGTATATTTACATATATATCTCATCTTTTGTATGTATAGTTGGACTGTCTGATGTATGGAAGTCTGGTGCCTGGGGCAGCCACATGTGGACTTTGATCCTGAGGGACTGGAGTTACAGACAGCTATAAGCCCTCATGTGGGTGCTGGGAATTGAACCTGTGTCCTCTAGAAGAGCACCCAGTGCCCTTCATTTCTCAACCATCCTTCCATCCCATATATGTGTATATAAAATATTTATCTGTGTATTAAATGATGAGGCCAGGCATGATGAACCACCAACTTTAATCCTAGCATTGGGGAGGCAGAGGCAGGTGGATCTCCACGAGTTCCAAGTCAGCCTGATTTGTATATCAAGCTGTAGGCCAGCCAAGGTTGCATAGTAAGACCTTGTTTTTTTTATTTTGTTTGTTTGAGGCAGGGTTTCTCTGTGTAGCCCTAGCTGTCCTGGAACTCGTTCTGTAGACCAGGCTGGCCTCGAACTCATGGATCTGTCTGCCTCTGACTCCCAAGTGCTGGGCTTCAAGGTGTTTACCACCACTGTCTGGCATATGACCCTGTCTTAACGAAACAAAACAGTAACAAAAATGTAATTGGCCTATAACTTTTAAAAATATATATATCATTATTCTAAATTATGTATCTCTCTCTGTGTGTATAAGAGAGTGAGTTTGTGTTTGAGGGGTAGTACCTGAGGAGACCAGAGTCACCGGATCCCCTGCAACTGGCATTACAGATGATTGTGAGCTGCCATGTGGGTGCTCGGACTTGAACCTAGATCTTCTGGAAGGACAGCCAGTGCTCTCAACCTCTGACCCATCTCTCCAGCACGCCCTCCCCCAAGAAATGTATTTTTTAAAAATACTTGAACCTATGTTTCCTAGCAGTAAAATTTTTCTTCAAGCCCTGTTGCTGGAGACTGGTATATCTTTGAAGTCCCATTCTGTAGTCCCTGACACCTCCCCCGCCCCCCCCATCCAGGGTCTAAGACCCAGCACTGCCCAGAAGCCAAAGCCTGCATCTGCCTGCTATCACTCACCTCCAAGAAAACAAAGTCCTGGAAACTAGAGTCTGAAAGCAGGATGGCCTTTTCATTATTGAAGCCCCCAAGGATGAACACGGGTGCATGGTTCACAGTGTACCACAGAGGCCTTGATCCCGAAGACCTAAAGTAAGATGACTCCAGAACAAGGCTCTGTCAGGGGAACAGAAATGCCATTCAGCCCTCACCTACTTGACTGTACCTCCATCTCTGCCACAAGCTAAAGTTCTCATCCTGACCACAAAGCCTCTGCCGCTGTCCCCTCCCTAACCGCACTCTCCTCCACTGTGTAGCTTCTCTCTAACCCAACCCCACCCTCTTCTTTATTTTCAGCTCACCCAGGGGCTTTGCAGCAGCTGCCTCCTCCTTCCTTTTCCATCTTTCACCCCCTCCCCCTTTTTGAGGTGAGGTGCATTAAGCCCTAGCAAGAACTCTTAGCTCCATCTCAAGGACGGGTAGCAAGCTCAGAACATGGGTGCAGGGCCTCAGATTTGGCTCAGTGGTGATGTGGCTTGTCTAGCATGTACAAGGACCTGAGTTCACTCCTCAACACACACACACGTACACATACATGCAACACACTCACACTGGAATATGGGTGTGGGAATTGTGAAGAATGGTTTTAGGTCTCTTTCTCTGGGATCTCTCTGACAGGAGGTAGGGAATGATTCCCTCCTCTGGAGCCTCAGTGTTCTTCTCTTTGAAGTGAGTATACACAGCATGTGAGCTGGCTTGATGGGTAAAGGCACTCGCCACCAAGCTTGATGCCCTGAGTTTAATGACAGAAACAGAGAAGCGACTCCTGAGAGTTGTCTTGTCCCTTCCGTATACGTGTCCATGTGTGGCCACCACAAAATAGATAAATGGGTTAGAAAGGTTAAAATGAATCCCTGAGGCCTGGCTTGGTGTCCCACATCTAGGATACCAGTACTTGGTTGGCAAGCTGAGGCAGGAGCCTCACAAAGTTTGTCTGGTTTGTATAATGAGTCCAGACCCCTGAGGGCTATACTGAAACCTTGTTACAAAACTCTACACTGGAGCCTGTGAGATGGTCTGGCAGGCAATGGGTCCTGATGCCAAGTCTAATGTCTGAGTTCAGTGCCAGGCAACTCCACATGGTGGAAAGAATGTAGGCTCTTAAAAGTTGTCCTCTGGGGCTGGTGAGATGGCTCAGTGGTTAAGAGCACTGACAGGAACCACATGGTGGCTCACAACCATCTGCAATGAGATCTGATGCCCTCTCGTGGGGTGTCTGAAGACAGCTAGAGTGTACTTATAATAAACAAATAAATAAATAAAGCTTAAAAAAAAAAGTTGTCCTCTGGCCTCCACATGCATACCATGGGATAAGCATATACAAAATAAGAAATTACATAAAATCCAATGAGACAATGGGGCCGGGCTTCTATCACCCTGTGTTTACCTGGGAAGTTTGACACTCTTCAGCCTCTAGCACTGGGAGGACTGTGTGTGTGTCCCACTCTAGATTAACTATGAAAGAGGAACTCAAAGGTACAGTTGGGAAAATGGCACCTGGGGCCCAGAGATCAAGCAAGTGCTCTGCAAATGGCATCTGTGTTGTTTGGAGGTTTGAAGGCCATGTGTGTGGTACTGTGCTATCCTGGCTGGCTGGCCTCACCTCATATCCTATGCTGAAGACCACTTTACCGCTTGCGTCTCTCTTCAAGAAGCCATTCATGTTCACATAGAACCTACAAGCAGGCTCCAGTGAGGACCGCCCTCGCGGGGGATCCCCCAGCTCGCAGCCACCTTCCCCTGCCACCTCCCCTTTGCTTTCCCTGCTTCCTTTGGGATTCTGGGGGTTGCCTTTCCTCTGAGTGTGCACACTACCAGAAACAGCACCTTTTCTTGGGAATGAAGGGTCCGATGCCATTGGTATAGATGTCCACTGAGGCGACCACGGAGCCATTTTTCAAGGGCATGGGTGTGTACCAGTTCAGGACGCACACGGCCTCTGCCGGGCAGTACCCTGCTGGTTGAATGGGGCACAGCGGCACAGAGATATTAGGGACTGCCAGAAACCCAGGTGGACCTCAGGGCGCTCACAGACTACCCAGCCCCACCCACCACCACCAAGCAGTTTGGCCCACCTGCGCTGCGCATTGGAGCAGCTTCCATCAGAATCTGCAGATTTTCCATTTTCCATTGGTAGAAATTGACTGAGTGTATGTAGTTGATCAGGACTAGGGGCTTCATTCCCATCAGGTGGCCCTTTCGGGCCAGCAACTCGCTATTCTGAGGAGGAGAGGGCATAACTTAGTTTGAAGGTCCACTGTCTGGAGACTCCTGGAGTACTGGTCTGCACTCCGAGCTAGATAGATACAGCAGGTTCACCGCACCGCCGAAGGGTAAGAGATCATGCCTGTGCAGCCTGCTGGGATGGCACATGCTTGTTCCCAGTGCTCCAGAGGGTGAGACAGCAGCCTCTTTAGTTCAAGGCTAGTCCAGGAGGACACTTAAGGAGTTTGAAGTACCTGGGCTATAAATATAAATTAAGACTGTCTCAAAACAAACTAAACAAATCAATAAAATCTAGAGGCCGGGTGTAGTAATGTTCACCTTTCACCCCCTCAGGAGATGGAAACAAGAGGATCACCACAGTTTGAGGCCAGTCTGGTCTCTACAGAGAGTCCTAAGTGAACCAGGGCTGTGTATCTGTCTCCTGGGTTTATATTCTCTCTTCTGGAATCTGTAAGTACCAGGCACACGTGTGGTATACAAACACACATGCAGGCAAAACACCCATAGACATACGTAAGATGTCTTAAAAAGAAAAACTTTCAAGTCGAGGGTGATGGCTTAGACCTGTGATCCCAGCACTCAGATGACAGAAGCCGGAGCACCAGTGCGAGTTCAAGGCCAGCTTGATCCAAGAAAGGCGTTCCACACCAGCTCAGGTCCCATAGGAAGACATTGTCTCAAAAAAAAAAAAAAAAAACCACAAAAACAAAGCTGGGCATGGTTGTACAACACCTAAAATCCCAGTACATGGGAAAAAGAGGTAGGAGGATCCCGAGTTCAAAAACAGCCTGGGACACTGATGATCCTAGTTCAAACCAACATAAAAAGTAAATGGTACTTGAGTGACTGCCCAACCCCTTGGTCACTGTAGCACAGTCAATCAGCTTTTCTAAGAACAAATTATAGCTCAATAAACTTAAAACTTTTTGGTGGTGTCTTGAGAAAGGATCTTCCTACACAACCTAGGCTACACTCCTTTGTTCTGTAAATAGAGATACGCAGTGACACTTTTTTTTCACTCCCTTTCTTTAGATTTACTTACTTTACTTAATGTGCATAAATATTTTGTCTGAATCTATGTATGTGCACCATGTGCATGCCTGTTGAATTCCCTGGAACTAGGGTTATGTGTGATTGTGAGCCACCAGATAGGTGCTAGCAATCAAATTCTACAACAGCAACAAGTACTCTTAACCAATAAGCTACTATGTCTCTGGTCCTGCTGCGAGACTGCTTCCCTGAGGCTGCATGAGGCCCTAAGCTCTCTTCTCATCATGGAACAAAATCAAATGTGGTGGTAGACTGGGATTTCAGAATCCCAGTCAACTCTCATGAAGCCAGTAGAGACAGGACAATCAAAAGTCTGAGGTTATTCTTTGCTATACATCAAGTCAGCCAGCCTGGGTTTCACGAGACTCTGCTTCAAAAACACTAAGAATCAGGTGGTGGTGGCACACATCTTTCATCCCAACATGAAGGAGGCAGAGGCAGGTAGATCTTTGTGAGTTTCAGACCAGCCTGATCTACAGAGCAAGACCCTGTCTTGAAAGAAAGAACCTACAGAACCGGGCACAATTTTTTCGAATCATCTGTATGACAAAGAACCGTCATTCAAAACATATAAATAGCTGGGAGATGGTGGCGCACGCCTTTAATCCCAGCACTTGGGAGGCAGAGGCAGGTGGATTTCCGAGTTAAAGAGTTCGAGGCTAGCCTGGTCTACAGAGTGAGTTCCAGGACAGCCAGGGCTACACAGAGAAACCCTCTCTCGAAAAACAAACAAACAAAACAAAAAACAAAACAACAACAACAAAAAAAAACATATAAATAATTTTCACAAATCAATAATGAAAAGGTAAAAATAAAAAAACCTTTCATTTAAAAATGTGTAAGGGGGGCTGGAGAGATGGCTCAGAGGTTAAGCGCACTGGCTGCTCTTCCAGAGGACCTGGGTTCAGTTCCCAGCAACTACATGGTGGCTCACAACTGTCTGTAACTCCAGTTCAGGGCACCTGACACCCTTGCAGGGACACACATTCAGGCAAAACACCAATGGACATAAAATAGAAAGAAAATACATTTAAAAAATAAAAAGTAAAATGAGCAAAGGAAGGTCAATCGAGATGACACACACACGCCATCTTTGATCCTGGCAGAGACAGACAGATCTCTGTGAGTTCCAGGACAGCCAGGGCTCTGTAGACATACCTTGTCCTAAAAAACAAACAAACAAACAAACAAACCTAAATGAGCTAAGGAAGGTTAGCCTGCTGGCTCATACCTATAATCCCAGTACTTGAGAGACAGAGACAGGAGAACTGGTGTGAGTTCAAGGCCAGCCCGGGTAAAGTAATACTGTCCTATAGCATGAAAGAAAGAGAGTGGGTCTAGAGATGGATGGTTCAGTGTTTAAGAGTGTGTGCTGTTCTCCCAGACGACCAAAGTGTGATTCCCAGCATTCACGTCAAGCCACAATGGCTTATAACTCATCACCCTCTTCTGACCTCTGACCTCCACAGGCACCTTCACGCACACATGCACATGCATATACCTCCATATATACATGTGTGTGCATGTGTATGTGTGTGTGTGGGCCTGTGTGGGCCTGTGTGGGCCTGTGTGTGTGTGTGCGGGCGCCTGTGTATGTGTATGCATGTGTGTGTGTGCGCGTGTGTGTGTGCCTGTGTGTGTGCATGTGTGTGTATGTATGTGTGTGTTGTGTGCCTGTGTGTGTGCATGTGTGTGCGTGTATGTGTAAGTGTGTGTGCGTGCATGCATGTATTTGTGCATGTGTGTGTGTACATATGTGTATGTGTGCTTGCCCACATGTGTGTGTGCATGTGTGTGCGTGTGTGTGTGCATGTGCGTGTGCGTAACTAAAAAGATGAATGTTTTTTTAAAAGAAAGAGTAACTAGTAATAGACACGTTTCTTGTTGGCAGATTAATAGGAACATTCAGGAGAAAGATAATGAGGTTAGTGTGACTGTTTGAGGGAGGGTGGCCCCTTAAGCTCTTATGTTTGAATGTTTGCTCCCTAGCTGTGGGTCCATTTGAGTAGCATTACATATGGCCTTCTTGGAGGAGGTGTGTCGTTGGGAGTGGTAGGCCTTGAAGTCTCAAAAGTCTGCACCATCCCAGTTCTCTTTGTCTGCCCCCTGCTTGTGGATGGAGGCATAAGCTCTCAGCTGCTGCTCCAGCACATACCCAGCTGCCATGGAGGTCCCCACCATGTTCCCTGCTCTGCTGCTCATGGACTTTTTGTTTATAAGTTGCCTTGATCATGGTGTTCTTGTCATGCCAATAGAAACGGAGCTGAGACAGTTGCCTGACTCTGTAGATACACTGAAATGTGCTGTCCTGTAGACTTTAGAATGGCGCCTTCAGGGGCTGAGGGCATGGGGGTAGCAGGTAGCAGTGGTAGGCTACAAAGCCTTGGGTTCTGTCCCTAGGCCCCTAAACAAAACAAAAGATGAGCTACAGCTCAGTTTTAAAATGGGGGAAGCTGAGGGTTTTGTTTTTTGATTTTGGTTTTTGTTTTTTCTGTCCCTATTGTGTTCTTCTACCCAGCGGGAGACTGAATCCCTAAGGCCTTCCGAGTTGCTGGAGACTACTACTAAACTGTATTGAAAACCTTACTGAAAGTGACGGGAAATTGGAGACTTACAGAAGTCAGCCCATTCACACTGTAAACTCTCACCTGTCCCGGACAGGAAAAGTTGATTTGCAGGTAGTAAGGAAAGCTGTAATATTTCTGTAAGGAAAGGTGGGGGAAATATCTAGTCACTTGGTGTACTGACCCAAGATCCCTCTATTTACTAACCCCAAATCCCTTTGATGCTCTTCCCTCACCTCTCCTGGATCGATTGGTGAGTCTGTCAACTTTTGGAACACCTTGGACACTGTATCGATGGGCTCTTGATCGTGAAATCGATCCTTGGAGAGATGCAAGCCTACCTTCTCGAACTTGTTCAGGACCACAAGCCAGGTACAACGCTCTAAAAAATCTTCCGCCCACGTCTTCAACGACAGCAATAGCACCAGCCGCAGTACCCAGAATGCCCATAGGTTTGGTTTTCTCGGCCACACAGGGCTGACAGGGGACATGGCTGGCCAGGACACCACGTAGCTAGAACCTGGAGAACGTGGGGATCAACACCCACTTACAAGTTGGCTAGCTGAGGCTGATCTCTAGGAAACCGCTCAGTTCCTGCCCTTTTTCCTACTCTTCTTCCCAGCTCCACCTCTAATCAGGCTTCGGGGCCCCTTACTCTCTGCACGGGCCCTGCTCTTAGGCCTTGCCACACCCTTACTCTCAGCCCCTCCCCTACTAAGACTCCTCGCCCCGCCCCTCCGCTTGTCTCCTCCCCTACTAAGACTCCTCGCCCCGCCCCTTCTCTTACTCTCGGCCCCGCCTCTACTAAGACTCCTCGTCCCGCCCCTGCTCTTACTCGCGGCCCCGCCTCTACTAAGACTCCTCGCCCCGCCCCTGCTCTTACTC